ATCATAATAATAATGAGTACTAATTTAGTAATTTTAAAAGAAAATAAATATTTTTTAAAATTATTTTATCACTAAGAAAAATATCAGAATCCAAAATAATTTAACTATAATAGTGGTTTGATGTTACTAAAAAAAAATGCATGTCATCATTTGGTTGCTAATTAAAATCGTCTATAAAAAATGTAGTTTATAAAATCAATATGCATACAAGAAATTAAATATTAAATTAAAAGACGATGTACAAAGAAATTAAAGTTTTCCGAACTTTTAAATTAGAAACTTAACTATTTTAATTCAATAAATTAATGGTTAAAAAGTGGTTGATTATTAAGAGGAAATACTTAATAAGATAAATACAACTTTTTAATGAAAATGTCTAACTTTTTCATTGTAACAAAAAAATAGTTTGAACAGGTAAACGTCGATTATAACATATTTATATTTGTATAATGCATATGAAAAAAAGACATAGGTTATAAGTTATAACTGATATTCATCTCTATGAAAGTTATGAAATTGTAAGTAATTTTAAGTGGAATGCTCCACATGAAAGCAAAATATGGAAAGTCATATTTTTTAGTAACTCACAAAATGTACATAATATTGTATTTTTTATAAGAGAAAAATCAAAAAATGTCATAAGTATGATTAAATTGCATTTGTTTTTTTTTAAATTTGTAATAAATTAACTATAATGCGGTTATAACTAAAAATGATTAATATTTAATAAAAGAATAATGAACAAAACAAAATTCAATTAAATCAAATTAAATAGTCTCAAAAAATGTTTTTTGTTTACAAAAAAAGAAAAAAACAGATTGGTATGTGTCTTAAATGTTTTAAGTTTTTACCATACTGTTGTGTGCGTAATCTCTAATATGAAACTAAACCGCTATTGCAACATTATAATACCATGTATCTGCATGGATATCATGTAATTTTTTTATCTTTACGGGGTATAGCTAATGTAAATGTTTAAATATTACCTGAATGGTTTTTAACACTATATTTTGAAAATTATAATTTAATAGCAACTAATGTGTTTCAGTTCGTTTAACATTATTATTGTTATGCTAAACTATAGCAAAAAAAAACTCTATATATGTAATTAAACTTTTCTTTTTTTAAAAAACTTAGTGAATTAATTCAGTTTCCAAGTATTAGTTTTAATCTTCCTATATGATGTAGTAAATAATATCACTTATATGGTGTGTATATTGTTATGATTATAAAAAAGAGAATGTATTATTTTAAGATAAGACCCTAAACTGTTGATTTTTGTTTTTTTTTTTTTTTAATGTAACGTTAAATTTCTAAAAAAATATTTAATGAATAAAAATGAGAAATTGAACCGTTGTAGTCGAAAAAAATAGCATAGCTTTACGACAAAGGATAACCTTTATAAAAGTCTTTTTTGAACGCTTATCTTTGAAGGTCTGAAAAAAAAGATTAGGTTAAGAGGATATATCGACCTTTTGCACATTTGTCAATTCATCGTAGAAATTCGTATTTTTTTTTTCAGATAGTCCATGCAATATAAAGTTACTTAGACACACAATGCTTGCATTGTATCTGAGTGTCCTAAAGCCCATCAAATACGGCCAGCAGACTCAAGTTTTAATGACAAGCACTTGGACGGCCACTCATGATGAAATATATTTACAGATATAGAAATAGATATATATTTGTTGTGTAAACGACACTTTAGTGGTCAACAAAAATAACAAATCTCCGAAAAAAATGTTTATTATTTCAGACATATGGTCTGTTCCACAAAAATGTCATTTTATGAACATTTCAATTCTTAACTGTAGGTTCACAATGATATACAATTGGTATATTTTAATATAAATAAATATATATGCTAACTAAATATTACATTATTATTAATGTACACCCTAATTTTACAGGGTGATTGGTACACAAGTTCCTATATTCTTAGTTATATTGTTTTTTTTGTTTTTTTTAAAATTGTTTATTAAGTTTACAAAGGTTTTTAGCCTAGTTATATTATTCTATACATAAAATATTTAATATACTGTTATTAGCATTGAGTATTATACATATTATGTTTTTCTATATATTATGATATTTAAAATTTTTTTTATATTTTTCACATTGGATGCATGTTAGTTTAGGTAGTGAGCTTTTTTCATTATATTAATTAATTGACTCATACTTAAAAAAAAAAAAAATGAATTGTATTTATATTTTCGATTACAATATTGTGTAATGTGTATGCATAATTTTTGTAATATATATAGGTGATCTGTATAAAATACAAATCTACGATCAAGTGTCCTATATCTGTCTACGATCTATGAATAAATTGAAATTAAAATAAAACGATTAAATAGTTAATAGTATTTTAAACCATAAGAAATCGTATTTTTTAATTATCACAAAGTAAATTGTATTACGAAAAATCATAAAACATTTTTTAGAATCAACTAAATATACCACACTATGTAAAATATACATATTTTGCCTAGGATACACAGAGAGTAGGCATTACAAAAATTGATATACTTAGGAACTTGCAATACTTGTACACTAAGTATTGAAACACTTATATAATTATATATTATACGTCTTTGACAAAGAATATTCGGTTCAATTTAATTAATTAAAATGAAACATATTTTATTTAATAAACAATTAGTAGTAAATAATGAGTAATTACCCGAAAAAATGTTATATTTACATAGGTGTTTAACACAATTTTCATACGAGAATGTTATTTGATGTGTATATTTTCCATTATTCCTTTGTATGCTTCATGATTTAGAAAAATGTTAATGTTTCAATTAAATGTATAATAATCTCACTAGTTTATTTTAAATTTATAGCAATATTTTAGTGTTAAAGTTTATTAAAGTGTTATTAAACTCTCTTATCATAATATCACGTCTTTTGTATAAGCATTCTTACATGCACTTAAATTATCTAACCGAGCACAAAGTTATTCGATATAAAAACTCTTCTAATATTATTAAATTAAAATCGTACTTTATTAATGAGTTTAAATTAAATTCAAAAAGAAAATTAATGAAGTCTCATGAAAGGATACAGCGAATATTTTCTCCCTTCTGGTATGCGTTTATTACGATATATTTTAGATGTCCATCATTATGGTTTGCCTCTGTTCAGTGACATATTTTCTTTTTATAATTCATGATTACGTGATATTATGTAAACAACTACAACTTACATTGTATATAACGTTTAACGTGTAGAAGTAAATACTTTTTTGAAATTTAATTCGTTCTATTTTTAACCTATATTTTGCTAAATTCTAAAATAAAAATCCAATATAATGTCTATTTTAACTGGCAGAAAACTTATGCTAAAAACGAACCAATATTTTGAATTATTCATATCGTTTTAGAATAGCTACATGATATTATTTATTTTAGAAAAGTACTAATATAATAAATATAATACATATATATTGTCAAAGTTTAATTCCAAAATGCTTATTAATATTAAATACACAAATAAATTGAACATAAAAGTACAATTTTCTATATTGTATTTTGTTTATTTAGCATATTATTTATTTTTAAATAAAAAAATAATACCATTGGATATATATTTTAAATTGTGCTTAAAATAAAACTAAATATTTAAAATGTATTCTGTGTTTCAATTTTACTTTGTTATATACAAATAAAAAGCAAAATCTTTAAAACCAATACTTAATTATTCCAATGCTTTATGCTAATAAACCATTAAGTTTTAATTGCAGTACTGCCAGTATACTTACCTACAAAGTTAAAAGTTATATAAAACTATAAATAAAATATTGTACAACCAATATTGGAAAAAACCCAGGTACTTTAATTTAATTTAATTTGCATTATATTACCTATGTAAGTATTTATAAAGCTGGTTCTGAGGTTTCTCTGGGTTTTGACCTTTTCAATGTTGTATTTTATGTATAGATGCCTATCTTATTTTTCACATCATTGTAGTCCATGATCGAATAATGTAGGTATATTAGATTATTATTGTATTCATTTCATATTCCATATAAAACAGCTTAAAATATATATGTAAATATACGAAATAAGATTGTATTATAATGGTATTAGTTTAGCTACATTCAACAATACCTCATATTTACATACGGTCAAACAGTAAATTAATTGCGTGACAAATTCAAGTATGCTTCAATTGATTGGGATTGTCCACTAGGTGTACAGTCCCGATTTATAGATGGTGTTTGCTTATATTAAACAATATTATATCATTTAATTTTTAATTGTAATATTTAAAAAAAATGTTGAACAAAACTATTGACGGAGTTCTTAAAACGATGGCTCGAGTATTAATTTAATACATGTATGATGTATATACTTTGCAAAATCATCTTGTAGTTAGGTTAAGATTTAATAAAATTTTGGGTAGTATTATCATGGATCGTATTGAATTTACAAATATAGATGATTGTAAAATCGTGGTATTTTTCCTACTAGTAATTCAGATTTTAACATAATAATTATTAAACAACACGTAATATTATTACGCATTCCTTCATTCCAATTAAATATCGGTTGGAAATGTGCACGATTTTTGAACGATCGGATTCGGGCTCTCGATATCCTTATTACAATTCGGATTGGTAAACCACCCAGTATTGACGAGAGGCGTAAGTCAGAGTCCTGCATCGTGAGATTAATAATAATCGTATCGGTTAGTGTGATTGCTATTTAAAACTTGGAATATATAATATTATCACACAATACAATTTCAAACACGACATAGTTCGCATTCAAAGTGCAGGTAAGACTCGAGGGAATACAACATGATAACGGAGTCCTCGACGCACTTAGACGACGGCCAAGTTGAACAAATTTACTCAAACGATTCTTCACGTTAAGTTGGTATAATGTATATTATAAAAATAACGATGACGAAAACGATTACGAGAAGATATTAAGGTAATTCCTAATGATTAATTTGTATAAATGTATGATATTATGTAGTGAAGGACTTACTCGGAATTCGAAAAACGACGACGACGGCAGCAGCGGCGGCAACGATTGCAAAGTACGTACGAGCGGTTTTGTTCAGACGACGACTCGGTAACATGGTTCTGACGTCGCAGTACGGTACACGAATCCTCCATCACGGGTTACCGCGGTAAGGTAACCGATGTCGACGTCGGAATGGGTAGGTCGACGCGGATTCGCCGGGAAACATGTCGTCGCGCTTTACGTGTATAATAATAATATAATTTTATGTAATAACGCGTATATCGATATATCAGTGTCTTCTGCTGTTGAAATCACCGTCTGTTCACTGGGTAGACAGCGGCAGTTGTAGTAGAAGTCGAACTGTTAAGACCATTCCTGACCGAGCCGGAGTCGCACCAGCGGGTATGTCGAATAATAATAATAATAATACGCACACCGTCGAAATAATCGTACCGTTTGAATAATAACTGGGAAAAAAAACTTAACGAAATAAATAGTCTTTGTCGATGCGTTTTTAATGGTGACTTTTTTTTTTAAATTTATTTATTATTATTATTTTTTTTTTTGTAAATTCTTTCCGAGTGGACCAAAACGCGCGCGAGAAGACTGCGCTCTGGGCGGCCGCTAATTGGCACCGCCGTCGAGGGTACGTCGCCGGACGCCCGCAACGACGCCTGGTGAGCACACGTGTTCGCGTCACATCGCGATGTGTTTTTCGGGAAACTTTTTCATACCTAACAATCATGTGACATCATTTTATTATTATTATTATTATTATTATTATTATTATTATTATTATAAAATTGTATAGGTATATATTATTATAGAATTCGATTTTTTTCTCGGTTTTCCGGACGATCCCGTCAAAAATGTCAAGCGCTTGTAAATATTTTAATGGCAAAAAAGTGTATGCGATTTCAGTGTGATACTAAATAAAAGCTCCGACCGAAACGCTAACTCAAAACTTCTATGAAATATTTATAATCATAATAATTGTTGGGTGAACTTAATTTTCGGATCTACCAATATAGAGTATATTACCTATTTACTTTTTGTATTACTATTATTATTTACACACTATTTTATTAAAATATAGAACGCAAATACAATTTACATTTTGTTTTTCGCAATTTGGGTTGCTCACGCTGATGACCATTAGTTTTTATTAGTTTTTTTTTAACAATCTGCTCTAAACAAACGGGACGTTTTCCTAATAGAGGTGCATTAGTGTGCCTGAGATTTATAGGAGATAAAAAAAAGTAAGAAACATTAAGAATAATTATTATCGTGAGTATTTTTGCCAGACAATATAATATAGTTACTTCATTTTGTTTACTTATGAAATCAGTAGAGACGTTTTAATAGTCACCACTTTAAAATGTTATAACATAAATAAGAATTCGATTTGCCTAATCATGTCTGATAAGTATAATTTTTCAATAAAACCCGTTTTATTTTACGCTCTTGAAAAAGCGTGATTATTCTTAAAACATTACGAATTATTATAACTATATTATCCACTTCAAGAATACAAAAAACGGATAACTTTATAATATAATAATATTCCATACCTATATAGTATGAAATTTTATTTCTACGAGCTTTTTAGTTTGACCCATTTTTACGCAATTGACTAAAAACCATAATGTTAAAAACCATATTGTGTTAAAAATGTGTTATATAGGAAGGATTGAGACTGCTAATTTATAAGATTTATATTTTGTCTAATTAAATAATATGATACGGACATACGGCGATTCATAATTGTTTCTATATTCTATATAGGATACCTGTACTATAATTGTGTAGCATTAAAAGAGTTGAAGGTATTGTTAAGGTATAAGTTTAAAAATAAGTGTAAACTCTATTAATAAGTAACATTGGTTAAGCATTGTGTACATGTGTAAATTAATAAATATACATTGTGTGATATAGACATATAGTTATTGCTAATGTATTATATGTTTTGTATACGATAGTAATAGATAAATAAGTATTTGTTATAGGATTATTTTAGGAGATTATAAAATATTTTCGTGTCAAGTTGGTTATTATCAATAATTCAATATCCCAATAGTGACTATAAAAGTTAGCTTATAGAAAACGTACATTGATTTATAGTTATACTTATAAAGTTACTACCAAGATAAAATTTAAATTTAATTTTGAGCTTTTGATCTGTTTGGTTTTTAAGTTCAATGTAAAAAATAAAAATTATTTACAAAAATCCATTTGGTTATACAGTCACTTTACGGTAAAAAGAAATAAGGAAATATAAATATTTGAAATCCCTATATTTTAACAGAATCTAGAGAAAATATATCGAATTTCATAAGTAGTAACGATTTTAATTTATAATTCGTATATATTATGCATAACTTTTTATACTCTAAACTATAACCTGGGATAAATTTATTGGAAAAACTTTTGAACTAGGCATTCATCTAACCGTAAAATGCTCTCAAAAACTTGAACACAAGTAATCATAATGAAACCATTCCTTGCATTCAAATATATACATTACACAATCATTATGCACAAGAAACTGAATAAGTTTGAGTAAAATACAGTATATCTTATATCAAGAGTGTATTTGATCACATTTATATAAAATATTATATAAATGTGAAAAAATATACAATAATAAATGTGTAATATTAAATATATTAATGTCATATAATTTAAATATTTATAAAAAAAAATGTTCCTAAAATAATTAAAAAATGTTATTTTCTATAAGACCATTTTATAAATTTAAACTAAATTTGGTAGATACACCCTATTAGTACTATACTTAATACACACACAAAATTCAATTTTAAAGCTATCTGAGTATGGGGGTAAAGGTACACGGCTATATTATAGTCGTGTTCAAACAATAAGTTTGTATTAAATGTGTTCTTTTCTTTTTGGATAGATGCGTTTGGGGCATACAAAAGTATCCAACAATACTCGTCATATCACATAGATAATTGATAACAAGTTCTAAAACAAAACAGTTTATTTTGAATGTCTCCTTTTTTCAAAAATCGTTTAAAGAAAAGTGCAAAATAACAATAAAGAAAATTAAGGAAATCCAGTCACATTTAATAATTATATTGTTGCATTTATATTTGCAATATGTACAATTGTTATATGCAAACTTTTGCAAAGCTATACAAGTCACGAATGTTTGGTATGTAAAGATTTATCACCCAGCGGATTTTAGATGTTAGTTTAACCATTTAATCTATTCTGTGATTTAACAATCATATTGTGTTATTAATTGGGTATTTTGGTAGATACGATGATATTTTTTTCAGGTATAAGGTAATTTTAAATATCTTAATTCTAATTTTTGGGGTATAATTAACTTATGCATTTTTTACAGTTAAGAAAATCTATTATACAACTATAATATACCGTTTAAAAAAACCCTTATTTTACAATGTCAAAATAAATTATTTGGATAATGTTTGATTAATTAAAATGAGAGATTGGACTATTACAATTGTGTAGCTTTACGACAAAGAAAACCTCCTCAAGTGTTGGTCCTTAAAGTCTTATCTTTAAACGTCTGTAAAGAGATAAGATTAAAATGGATATATAAACTTTTGCCACATTTGTCAACTTATCCTTAATTTTATTATCATTAGGTACATCTAATAGGATGTTATATAATATACAGTTTTGTATACACTTTTACATTTGTTGTACGTTGAATGGTAGTTTGAAGATATATCATATTCATATCATACTATATGTAACCAATTAAAAAAGCACTTTATTACCAATATTTTCCAGTTATTTATTTATTTTTTTTATAAACAACAAACAATGTATTCAAAACATTAAACATTATGTGTAATATATAAGGAGATAGCCAGATATAGGAGGAATATGATATTTTAATCTACGTTAAAATATTATTTTATAATGATAATACTATATTAATTATCAAAGTTTTTAAAATGTTTAAACGTACCAACAATCCGATATTATAATACTAGTTAGACAAGTATTATACATGAATAAGTGTACATAAGTTATATTGGTATTTCCTTACATTTTACTAACCTGGAGTAATTCAAATACAAAATTAAGATTATTGTCGTCATAAACATAAGTAAATAATTTAATTTAATGTATTATTCCTTTTAAATGATGGTGTAAATTATTTCTAAAATACTAAATTTATAAAACTATATTCAAAATACTATTCAAATAGTTGGTCGATATTCATTTACATGGTAAGTAAATTCGATTAACTTTAAGGGACATTCTTATTTGTATAGAAATCTGCTAGATGCATTTTATCTAACTATCACAATTACACTTCAAACCGTATTAAATATTTTGAAATCGGTCATAAAAAGACAATAGTTGAGCAAAAAAAAAAAAGTTAACAATATTGTATTATACCTATATAATATAAACTTGATGTTAATACACGGAAGATATGATATGTGTTATTGAAAGGGAGTGATTAGGAGTGGTATTTTGATTAATTAAGATGTTAGGGCAATTACAAGGGGGTTGAAAATTGATTTTAATTCATCGAAGAATTTGGTGATGATGGTGTAAATATATTCGTGGTATAAATATCTTAAAATTAATAAAGGTAAATAAATTAGGCTTGTATAATGTATGAGGAATGTTGTATTAAATTGTCAAATCTAAGTAACTAAAATTGAAAAAATGATGCATTTTTAACTACAAAATAGTTTGTAAATTATTATGATTTTGAGGAATTTTAACTTCAAAAGTTTATAAAAATAATTGTTGTGGCAAAAAAAATCATTTTATAATAAATCGTTATTGAAGATACATTTCCAATTTCCATATCTATCCAATGCCATCCAAATTTTAATTTCATACACTCATAAACAATTTATATATTATTATATATAACTGTTTACTTAAATTATAGTAAGCAAGTCTTATGGAAAATCTTGTATTACATTTTCAAGCCATAGATATTAAAATAAACATTTTATGGATTTTAAGCTACAGAATAATTTACATAGTTTCGTGATTTTGATGAATTTCATAAAAATTCATAAAGTTTAAGATTAAAGCATTTTTACTGCTTCTCGGTATGACGGTAGATACAAAACTGAAAAAAAACATATCGTTGTAAAATAAATAGATTCATCATTAAACTTAGAATCTAAAAAATGTACATTAATCTTCAATATTCAATAAACATAATATTTTCATTCTTATCATTAATTAAAAACCAGTTCAGCTTGATAAATATAAGAACTATAAGTCATACATTTTACCTGAAAATCACCTTTTTCCAAACCCGTGCATATTTTATGAGCCATATTCAATAATCATGTAAAATAATTTATTATTCTAAAATAATTAATTTGAGTACTGCTCCGTTGGAAAATTGCATATGTATTTTGATAACCCCAAAACATCTTAATTTTATTATATTATAACTGTGACGAGGTTAAGTAATAGTAAGACAGTTATTTCACTAACGTTTAAAAATGTTAATTAAGCATATCAACTATATTACCTGCCTATAATAATAATTACTGTCAGACTTGGTTGAATCGAATTCGAAGGAATCGGCCAAAAAGTTCGAGTTATCCAAAAATAATACAATTATATAGGAAATTCTAGTGA